AAAGAAACAAAAATTACTGTTTCACATGGGTGATATAGGTTTTGAAAAAATCTTTGTCTTCAATTATGCAATGATCATTTAAAAGCTGTATTTTGTGTTTACTCATGTTGTCTTTATCTTATCTTAAAATTAGTTGGATGATCTGAAACATTTAAATGATGGTCTAAAACATATCAACAAACAAGTCTTGGTACAATTTACATTCAAATGGTTTAAATATGGGAAGGTAGCTTTTAGTTACAGTGCTCCATCTGCAAGAAATGATCTGTAAAAACATTTGAAATTGGAGCAATTTATTTCCTTGATTGATTTTAAGATCATTGTTAAAGAACTGTATAATTCTGTTTGTTCTTGTTTTTAATTTGGTTTTGACACTTATTTGATTTGTTGGTTGTGATGGTGTTGTTTCTTTGTTGATTGTTTTGTGAGCAGCCTTCTTGGCCAGGGCTCACTTGTAAAAGAGATTTTCAATCTGAATGTGATTACCCTGGTTAAATATGGGACAAAAGTGACAATTAGCAAAAATATTATTAAAAATGTATTTTATAACATTAGATATCCAACATGATTTTGTTACTTAAATGTTTCAAATATGCAATGTTCAAAGGAAAAATGAATGTGTTTTTTAATTGATCTTCAAGGTACAGCACAGTGCTGAAACAAAGTCTGACGTTATTTATCTGCAGTGTAGTTATGGGTCTTTTAGATAGAAGGACAACTCACGTCAGAGGGATGCGCACACGGAGGAAACGGTCCACTGCAATGGCCAGAAGTGAAGAACCAGAAGCAAACTGTGGCATCAAGACAACACAGCACATGAAAAGGCAGCCATAAAAGGGGATCTTCATACCAGTGTCCACCAGCACAGCCATGGGGATGGCCACAGACCCCACCAGGAAATCAGCTACAGCCAGGGACACGATGAGGCAGAAGGTGGGCTGCCTGAGGGCTCCACATGTCCACACTGCCCAGATCACCAGCGCATTGCCCAGGCAACATGCTACAGCAATGATCACCTCAAAAGGCAAGAAGACCCACACAGGACTGCTATCCATTGGAAGAGAAAGAGATCAGCCAGTACAGATGTTGATGATGGAGTGTGATATAAGCTGGCTGTGACTAGACCTCCCTGTGAGCTCTGATGAAATGCACAGTTTCAAGAAACACTGAGATGCCTTCATGCTTACAACAGCAGACAAACAGATAATATGCATACACAATAAACAACCACAAGTAGTCTAGAGGAAGTGGGCTGATTGTGTGAGAAGGCCAAAGCTTGATGAGAGAATGAGAGTGTGAGAATGTCACTAGCAGTGAGAATTTTAATGTTGAAGAAAAGGCCTCAGTTTTTCATAGATTATTAAACACTATACAAATTATTTAAAAATAAAAACGGTTCATAATTTTAAAAAATGTTGCTAAATCACAGTTTAGGAAAAGGACACAGTTTGCTCGGACTGAAATTCAAAGTTCAGTACCACTAAATTCAGCTGCAACTCTTGCAACAGAATAATTCCCTATGTAAATAAAATGTAAATGTTCTTACAAATCTGGTGAGCTAAAAAATGACTTCATGTGCTAACAAGCAATTGGACTGGTTTTATTCAACTCAAATAAATACTTGAATAAAATAATAGTTTAATTTAAAAATAGGAGTGTTTAGGAGTGAATTATTCAAAAAACGTCTCAAACAGGTAATACAATCATGCTTGGTTATAAAAAGAGCATCTAGATAACTTGGGCTCCTGAGTGGTGCAACCATCTAAGCGTTGGCCCTATCATCAGGAGATCGCGAGTTTGATCCCTGGTGATGCCACAGCCATCTGTAGCCAGGAGTCCAACAGAGCACAATTGGCCTCGCTCTCTGGGTGGGTTGGATGGCCCCTGCCTTCTCTCTTCTCGGTGCATAATAAGTCCTGATATGTCTCTCATTGCAAATTTGCAAGTCACAGCTTGTGATGGCTTGGTTTGTTGCTTACTAGATGATGTAATCTTGCTTTGTGTATGGTCAATTTTAGTTACACAGGAAAAGATAGAACATTTCCTGTGCTGTTGGTAAGGGATTTCCCACAGTGGCCAAACCTTTTGCTAACACAGCGGGGTGCACTATATGACCATTACATTGGTACTTAGCAACAGTAACAAAGAGGGCAACCATGCAAGCCAAAATTTTTAGTTTTAGTTAGAGTTAGAGCAGGAGGCATGGGGAGCATGGGGATATGTGGCATAAATTCACATAAAAATACTATATCCACAATAAATTAATTTAGAAAACAATAGATAATAAGACAGAGGAAACTGCCATGGTCTTGGAGCCTATATGGTAGTAGCTGTAATTTTAAACACAATGCACAGGAAGCAGCATGAGTACAGAGGAGACTGCTCACTGCTGTAAGATTCACACAGCTCTCCTTTACCAATATTAAATAGGATGCTTTGCTATCACAAGTCATGACTCTCTAGTGAGCCAGAAGATTAACAACAAACTATGTCTACATCTTTCAACACAATTCATTGCATTTCATTTTCACATGTTTGAAAAAAAGGACTGATGCTCTAAAACTTCAGCAGCACACAATTTATCAACTTTTCAGCACTGATGCGCACAGAGTGCTGTGTGCGCCTGTACCTGCTGCTGAGAGCTGTTTTTATCCCACAACCAATACCACAGGGAAAGAGGGGTATGACTTTTTGAGGTACAGGTGGTGACAAAATTAGAAAAAATACATTTGACTTATATTATAAAATTACCACAACTACATATTATAAAGAAAAAATAATAAAATAAAATAAAAATACAAAAATATTAAATATTAAAAATCTGGTGGGAAATGATGCACCTGCTAACAACAACAGCAGCAACAACAAAGATGCTTTCATGAGCCTTTCACAGGGGTGGCCAAGCATTACAGAGGCTTCCCCACAACAAGCATGTTTCTTCCACTATACTTAGACCTTCTTCAGTTACAACTCTCAAAAAGGGGACGCTGTGCAAAATGTAAATCATTTAAACCCTACATTTCATCAAAAATAGAACAAAGACAACACAGAAACTGAGAAATTTATTGGGTTTTTTGTTGTTTTTTTTTTGTAAAATGTATGCCATTTTGAGTTTGATCCCAATAACAAGTTTCAAAAAAGTTGGACAGGGGCAACAAAAGACTGGTACATTTATGTAATGCCAAAAAAAAACACCTGGTGTTTAATTGGCAACAGGTCTGTAACATGTTTGGGTATAGAAAGAGCATTTCAGAAGTCTTTCAGAAGTAAAGATGGGGAGAGACTGTGCAGGCAAATAGTGCAACAATTCAAAAATAACATCTCAAAATAAAATAGCAAAGAAATTGGGGATTTTATCATCTTTGGTACATAATTTCATTAAAAGAGTCAGAGAATCCAGAGAAATCTCTGTATACGAGGGACAAGGTCTAAAACTACCGCTGGCCATGATCTCTGGGCTCTCAGGTGGAACTGCATTATAATCAGACAAGATTCTGCAGTGGAACTCACTGCAGGGGGCACGCTGGAGTCTTTGCTGAAAATTGCCACAGTAACAGAAGTAAATTTCCATCAGGTAAATAATCTTTATGCAGAGCAGATCAGGACTGTCAGACATTTGTCACTGTAGCCTTAATTACGGTCTCTGCACATCTCTCCCCCGGACCTTTCAAAATTACATTACATCTTTATTGCTGCTCTGAATTCTTTGACCATTTCAACTCAACATTCTAACTGACCAGGTAGGTCATAACAATTCCTTTCACATTTGCTTTCCACTGTATGAAGCAGGATTGAAGGAGTCATTGTTTTTATATCAAAATCACGATTTGAAAGATTACTATATCCTATATTATCAACAGTGATTGTCTTAACAAATGAAGAAATATAACTTAATAACATGAACACTATCCTGCCTTCCGCCCAATGACGGCTGGGATGGGCTCCAGCACCCCACCGCGACCCATAAGGATAAGCGGTTTAGACGATGTATGTATGTATGTGTGTATAACATGAACACCCAGGTGCAGAGTGCAGAAAAAAATGGATGTGCCGGTCTTCTTGGCCAAATACATAAATAAAAAATAAAATAAAATAAACAGGCCTGAATCTCAATTTATATAAAATATAATTTCAACTGAAGTCAGAATATCACAACTGGATATTTTACACAAATCATTCAGTCCTAACATGAAGAATGTCATTAATTTACATGTAATGAAGTAAACTTACTACAGGGATGAATTAAACAGTGACATTAAAATACAGAATATAAGCTTTAACTGAGAGTATTCGTACTGATATAGATATATAGTAATTAGATGAATTAACACAATCTTAAGTAAAATTATTTAGGACTTTTGCACTCAGTAACTGTCTGAAGGGACCTATAGAAAACACCAAACACAGAGTATCTTCCCTGGTGAAACTTCCACTGTTTTCACTCCCTGCTTCTTTAGGGTTTTTTGTGTCTGTGTTTTTTTGTTGAATACATCACAGGTGGCACATTATGGCAACAGTAATTCTTGTGTAGGTTGTGGGGTTTAGTGGAGTCAACGTAAAAGTATAAGACAGATTTCCTCACAGCATGTTTTGAGTAATCCCAGCTTGAAGGCAACTTGATAATGGGGTGGATGCTTAGATTGTTTTGCCAGTTGAGGGCTCCTGAAATGACTAAATTACCTAAATTGTACAAAAAAGATAGATTTATAATGTATTTAAAGATAATATATAGATTTGTTGTGTAACTTAAATAGAAACATCGCTGACCTAGAAATTTAATCGCATATCAAATAATAATGTATAAATCGTATATCAAATAATAACAGAATATTACACAGATTACTGTTCAGTTGACTTACTGTTTGATGTTAAATTAAAATTTTAGGCTCTGAGGTTACTTATATAAACCCCAATTTTGGAAAAGTTGACGCATTTCATAAAATGCAATAAAATCAAGAATCTGTAATTTCTTACTTGTCTTAAATCTTTATTTAACCGACAAAAGTACAAAGAGAAGATTTCCAATATTCTAGAACTTAAGTGTATTTTGTAAACATAATTTGAATTTGATGCCTGCAACACACTCAGAAACAGAAGCATGGGACAGAGGCATGTTTACCATTGTGTAGTATCACCTTTTCTTTTCATTACAGTTTTTACTGGAACTGAAGATACAAATTTTTGCAGGTTTGCAAGTAGAATTTTTGCCATTCTTGCTTGATACAAGACTTTAGCTGCCAACAGTCTGTGGTCATCGTCTGATTCTCCTCTTCATTATTCATGATATACATCCCACATATTTTCAACAGTGTTGAGCTACGACCCGTCTTTGCTTGCTGAGGCTGAGCCTTTGGTGGATGCTGCTTCTATACCCAGTCATGATTCCCTCGACTGTTACCAACCTGCTTATTGTGGAATGTTTCAAAATGGCGTAACTCGAAAATTCTATAATCTTGTCACTGTTATTGTGCCCTGTCCCAATTCAAAATTTGCTTATATTTAGAAAATACAATCAAGTTGATCAGCCAAAATATTAAACCTTAATTTCTATGTACTTCTGTCAGTTTAATAAAAGTTCAAAATAATGAACAAATCACAGTTTCTTGTTTTTGTTGCATTTTACAAAATGTCCCAACTTTTCTGGAAATGGCATTGGATTTTTTTTATTAGGATAAAATAACAAATTGTTTGAACAGTGCCAGAGGTTTGCTTTTGACTGATGGAAAAACCATAATCAGTCATAATTTTGATGGTCAATAACAGTCTTTGTGCATCTCATATATGTTATCAGGGTTTTTACAACTCCTGTGTAGCACTTCTGTTTTCTGTACTGTTGTCTTTTGTTCCAGTGTTTTCTGCATGGCTGTTTGTGTTTCTGTCTGTATTATTCTGTGTCTTGCTCTGTTCACTCTGCTGCTGTTCTCTGTCATGATAAACTCTTCTCCACAGCTTCCTACATGCCTCTTTTATCTTGGGGATCCTAAACGCATAAACTATGGGGTTAACCGCTGAATTAGCTTGAGACAAGAATACACCTAATTCAAAAGCCTGAGAGGGAACTTTAAATTTAGGACCATAAAATTCTACAGTAAGCATGATGAACAGAGGGAGCCAACAGACAACAAAGAGAACTAAGACCAGAACCAGTGAAGCAGCCAGTCTATGTTGTTTTTGGTAACATGTGCTGGACTTACCAGCCACACCTATATTTGCTCTTAACTGCCTTCGAGTGGTCAGGAAGATGTAACAATACAAGCCTGTCATGAGAGCCAACGGAGGAAGGTATAAGCTGAAGAATATGAAGTAAACTAGATATGAAAAGGAGATAACAGTAAAGAATCTGCATTTAATACTGTCTGCGCCCGAAGATTTGTGCCATCCAAACATGGGGATAAAACTCAACAATGCAGCAGTGACCCAGCAGAGTGCAACCACGATCCAAGAGCGTTTTTTAGAGACTGTAGACTTATACCTGGAAAAGAAATAAATAGTATCAGTTTCTTTGTTCTGATTCTTAAGTAGTTTAAAAAAAATGAAAAGAGCGACTAATGTATCAGTTTTACAACATAATATCAATGAAACAGCCCAGAGCACTGAATTCTTTGACAACTCAAGTAATATGGTGCTCTGGGCTGTTTCTCTGATATTATGTATTATATATATTAGCACAGTATGAAATTCAAATCTGAAGTTATTTATCTGCAGGATGGTTATAGCTTCTTCAGATATAAGGATATAAAACTACTCACGTCAGAGGGATGTGCACACGGAGAAAACGGTCCACTGCAATGGCCAGGAGTAAGATGACAGAAGCCACCTCTAGCATTATGATGACACCACACATGAAAAGGCAGCCATGAAAGTTGGTGTTTATACCAATACCCAAAGGCACAGCAATAGGGATGGCCACAGACCCCACCAGGAAATCAGCCACAGCGAGGGACACAATGAAGCAGAAGGTGGGCTGCCTGAGGGCTCCACATGTCCACACTGCCCAAATCACCAGCACATTGCCCAGACAACATGCTACAGCAATGATCACTTCAAGAGGCAAGAAGAACCACAAGGCACTGCTACCCATTGGAAGAGAAAGAGATCAGCCAGTACAGATGTTGATGATGGAGTGTGATATAAGCTGGCTGTGACTAGACCTCCCTGTGAGCTCTGACGAAATGCACAGTTTCAAGAAACACTGAGATGCCTTCATGCTTACAAAAGCAGACAAACAGATAATATGCATACACAATAAACAACCAAAAATAATCTAGAGGAAGTGGGCTGATTGTGTGAGAAGGCCAAAGCTTGATGAGAGAATGAGAGTGTGAGAATGTCACTAGCCGTGAGAATTTTAATGTTGAAGAAAAGGCTTCAGTTTTTCATAGATTATTAAACACTATACAAATTATTTAAAAATAAAAACGGTTCATAATTAAAAAAAAATGTTGCTAAATCACAGTTTAGGAAAAGGACACAGTTTGCTCGGACTGAAATTCAAAGTTCAGTACCACTAAATTCAGCTGCAACTCTTGCAACAGAATAATTCCCTATGTAAATAAAATGTAAATGTTCTTACAAATCTGGTGAGCTAAAAAATGACTTCATGTGCTAACAAGCAATTGGACTGGTTTTATTCAACTCAAATAAATACTTGAATGAAATACTAGTTTAATTTAAGAATTGGAGTGTTGGGAATTATTCAAAAAACATCTCAAACAGGTAATACAATCATGCTTGGTTATAAAAAGAGCATCTAGACAATTTGGGCTCCTGAGTGGCGCAACCATCTAAGCGTTGGCCCTAGCGTTGCCACAGCCATCTGTAGCCAGGAGTCCAACAGAGCACAATTGGCCTCGCTCTCTGGGTGGGTGGGATGGCCCCTCCCTTCTCTCCTTACGGTGCATAATAAGTCCTGATATGTCTCTCATTGCAAATTTGCAAGTCACAGCTTGTAATGGCTTGGTTTGTTGCTTACTAGATGATGTCATCTTGCTTTGTGTATGGTCAATTTTAGTTACACAGGAAAAGATGGAACATTTCTTGTGCTGTTGGTAAGGGATTTCCCACAGTGGCCAAACCTTTTGCTAACACAGCGGGGTGCACTATATGACCATTACATTGGTACTTAGCAACAGTAACAAAGAGGGCAACCATGCAAGCCAAAATTTTTAGTTTTAGTTAGAGTTAGAGCAGGAGGCATGGGGTGCATGGGGATATGTGGCATAAATTCACATAAAAATACTATATCCACAATAAATTAATTTAGAAAACAATAGATAATAAGACAAAGGAACCTGCCATGGTCTTGGAGCCTATATGGTAGTAGCTGTATTTTTAAACACAATGCACAGGAAGCAGCATGAGTACAGAGGAGACTGCTCACTGCTGTAAGATTCACACAGCTCTCCTTTACCAATATTAAATAGGATGCTTTGCTATCACAAGTCATGACTCTCTAGTGAGCCAGAAGATTAACAACAAACTATGTCTACATCTTTCAACACAATTCATTGCATTTCATTTTCACGTTTGAAAATAAGGACTGATGCTCTAAAACTTCAGCAGCACACAATTTATCAACTTTTCAGCACTGATGCGCACAGAGTGCTGTGTGCGCCTGTACCTGCTGCTGAGAGCTGTTTTTATCCCACAACCAATACCACAGGGAAAGAGGGTATGACTTTTTGAGGTACAGGTGGTGACAAAATTAGAAAAAATACATTTGACTTATATTATAAAATTACCACAACTACATATTATAAAGAAAAAATAATAAAATAAAATAAAAATACAAAAATATTAAATATTAAAAGTCTGGTGGGAAATGATGCACCTGCTAACAACAACAACAGCAACAACAAAGATGCCTTCATGAGCCTTTCACAGGGGTGGCCAAGCATTACAGAGGCTTCCCCACAACAAGCATGTTTGAATGCCAGTCCATTTGGTTTCTTCCACTATACTTAGACCTATTTGCTGGTGGCTGTAAGTATGCCATCTTCAGCCATACTTAAAGCCACCTAAATCTATAGGACATAAGTATGGCTTCTTCAGCTACAACTCCCAAAAAGGGGACGCTGTGCAAAATGTAAATCATTTAAACCCTACATTTAATCAAAAATAGTACAAAGACAACACAGAAACTGAGAAATTTATCGGGTTTTTTTTTTTGTTTTTTTTTTGGAAAATATATGCCATTTTGAATTTGATCCCAACAACAAGTTTCAAAAAAGTTGGACAGGGGCAACAAAAGACTGGTACATTTATGTAATGCCAAAAAAAAACACCTGGTGTTTAATTGGCAACAGGTCTGTAACATGTTTGGGTATAGAAAGAGCATTTCAGAAGTCTTTCAGAAGTAAAGATGGGGAGAGACTGTGCAGGCAAATAGTGCAACAATTCAAAAATAACATCTCAAAATAAAATAGCAAAGAAATTTTATCATCTTTGGTACATAATTTCATTAAAAGAGTCAGAGAATCCAGAGAAATCTCTGTATACGAGGGACAAGGTCTAAAACTACTGCTGGCCATGATCTCTGGGCTCTCAGGTGGAACTGCATTATAATCAGACAAGATTCTGCAGTGGAACTCACTGCAGGGGGCACTCTGGAGTCTTTGCTGAAAATTGCCACAGTAACAGAAGTAAATTTCCATCAGGTAAATAATCTTTATGCAGAGCAGATCAGGACTGTCAGACATTTGTCACTGTAGCCTTAATTACGGTCTCTGCACATCTCTCCCCCGGACCTTTCAAAATTACATTACATCTTTATTGCTGCTCTCAATTCTTTGACCATTTCAACTCAACATTCTAACTGACCAGGTAGGTCATAACAATTCCTTTCACATTTGCTTTCCACTGTATGAAGCAGGATTGAAGGAGTCATTGTTTTTATATCAAAATCACGATTTGAAAGATTACTATATCCTATATTATCAACAGTGATTGTCTTAACAAATGAAGAAATATAACTTAATAACATGAACACTATCCTGCCTTCTGTCCAATGACAGCTGGGATGGGCTCGAGCACCCCACCGCGACCCATAAGGATAAGCGGTTTAGACGATGTATGTATGTATGTGTGTATAACATGAACACCCAGGTGCAGAGTGCAGAAAAAAATGGATGTGCCGGTCTTCTTGGCCAAATACATAAATAAAAAATAAAATAAAATAAACAGGCCTGAATCTCAATTTATATAAAATATAATTTCAACTGAAGTCAGAATATCACAACTGGATATTTTACACAAATCATTCAGTCCTAACATGAAGAATGTCATTAATTTACATGTAATGAAGTAAACTTACTACAGGGATGAATTAAACAGTGACATTAAAATACAAAATATATAAGCTTTAACTGAGAGTATTCGTACTGATATAGATATATAGTAATTAGATGAATTAACACAATCTTAAGTAAAATTATTTAGGACTTTTGCACTCAGTAACTGTCTGAAGGGACCCATAGAAAACACCAAACACAGAGTATCTTCCCTGGTGAAACTTCCGCTGTTTTCACTCCCTGCTTCTTTAGGGTTTTTTGTGTCTGTGTTTTTTTGTTGAATACATCACAGGTGGCACATTATGGCAACAGTAATTCTTGTGTAGGTTGTGGGGTTTAGTGGAGTCAACGTAAAAGTATAAGACAGATTTCCTCACAGCATGTTTTGAGTAATCCCAGCTTGAAGGCAACTTGATAATGGGGTGGATGCTTAGATTGTTTTGCCAGTTGAGGGCTCCTGAAATGACTAAATTACCTAAATTGTACAAAAAAGATAGATTTATAATGTATTTAAAGATAATATATAGATTTGTTGTGTAACTTAAATAGAAACATCGCTGACCTAGAAATTTAATCGCATATCAAATAATAATGTATAAATCGTATATCAAATAATAACAGAATATTACACAGATTACTGTTCAGTTGACTTACTGTTTGATGTTAAATTAAAATTTTAGGCTCTGAGGTTACTTATATAAACCCCAATTTTGGAAAAGTTGACGCATTTCATAAAATGCAATAAAATCAAGAATCTGTAATTTCTTACTTGTCTTAAATCTTTATTTAACCGACAAAAGTACAAAGAGAAGATTTCCAATATTCTAGAACTTAAGTGTATTTTGTAAACATAAAAAATTTGAATTTGATGCCTGCAACACACTCAGAAACAGAAGCATGGGACAGAGGCATGTTTACCATTGTGTAGTATCACCTTTTCTTTTCATTACAGTTTTACTGGAACTGAAGATACAAATTTTTGCAGGTTTGCAAGTAGAATTTTTGCCCATTCTTGCTTGATACAAGACTTTAGCTGCCAACAGTCTGTGGTCATCGTCTGATTCTCCTCTTCATTATTCATGATATACATCCCACATATTTTCAACAGTGGTGAGCTACGACCCGTCTTTGCTTGCTGAGGCTGAGTCTTTGGTGGATGCTGCTTCTATACCCAGTCATGATTCCCCTGACTGTTACCAACCTGCTTATTGTGGAATGTTTCAAAATGGCGTAACTCGAAAATTCTATAATCTTGTCGCTGTTATTGTGCCCTGTCCCAATTCAAAATTTGCTTATATTTAGAAAATACAATCAAGTTGATCAGCCAAAATATTAAACCTTAATTTCTATGTACTTCTGTCAGTTTAATAAAAGTTCAAAATAATGAACAAATCACAGTTTCTTGTTTTTGTTGCATTTTACAAAATGTCCCAACTTTTCTGGAAATGGCATTGGATTTTTTTTATTAGGATAAAATAACAAATTGTTTGAACAGTGCCAGAGGTTTGCTTTTGACTGATGGAAAAACCATAATCAGTCATAATTTTGATGGTCAATAACAGTCTTTGTGCATCTCATATATGTTATCAGGGTTTTTACAACTCCTGTGTAGCACTTCTGTTTTCTGTACTGTTGTCTTTTGTTCCGGTGTTTTCTGCATGGCTGTTTGTGTTTCTGTCTGTATTATTCTGTGTCTTGCTCTGTTCACTCTGCTGCTGTTCTCTGTCATGATAAACTCTTCTCCACAGCTTCCTACATGCCTCTTTTATCTTGGGGATCCTAAACGCATAAACTATGGGGTTAACCGCTGAATTAGCTTGAGA